CACAAAGCAAGCTGAGCTCCTGACCAGCACCACACTCAGCCCCAGTCACACATCCCAGTGTTTACAAACAACTCTCAAGCTGAGCTATCAGCCAGGCCACCAACAGCAAATCCTTCTGCAGAGCCAAAGCCCCTTTCTAACAGCCACAGCCTATTATGAGCTCCGACAATGCAACTGCTGGGATTGTCCCAAAAAGCCCTATCAAGCCCCAAACAGTTCTGTGCCACTCCAACAATCTGTTGATGACAGGGAGAGCAGTGCCAAGCAGCCACAGACAAGCCAGAGCACTCCCAATGCTGCCTCAGGCATCTGAAGTGAGGCTATTTGGGTTTTCTGTGAAAATCAGAAGCTGCCTGGATGCTGATAGTGAGATTCATGGAGCTGAAACCTGTTCTAGTTAAGATATGGGGTTTGCTGAGGAATTAGAAGTAGCAGTGACTCTAAACTAATGGCAAACACAGTGGTGGGGGCTCCTGGAGTGAGAATCTGGACTAAAGCATTTGCTGAACAAGCACCAAGCAGCAAACAAGAGACCACCACATCTACCAGCACTCACACAACTGAACTGGCCTGGTTTTCCTTTAACATGAAAAGCGAGTGACAGGGAAAAGCTTCTGCTTCTAAACAGGAATCTGATGCTAAATCCAGCTTTTCAGAGCTTGATTTAACATCCCAGTCTGCAGCCAGAGGTTAGAAATGTGAAATATGTGACTTCAAGTAAAAAAGCAAGGAAGGTGGATCACACAGCACCTGTTCCTACCCCTGAAAGCAACAGAAGATCTCCAGACCTGACATCAAGGCTCACTAAAATTGAGCACCCTAAGGAACTTCCACTGTGCTCATGACAGGACACAGCCACCACTGAGCTCTCAGCAGTTCCTTTGATTAGGGATCTCCTGTCAACAGGCAGGGGATGCCTTTGCTACAGAATCCTTCCGTTTTCAGGCCCAACAAATCCACTGCAGTCTTTGGGAGATTAAAGCAAAGAATCAGAAATATATATATATTTAGCTTTTTTCCTTCTCAAAAGCAAAGGAAAAGCTATAAAACTCTGATTTCAAGGCACATTCAATTCATTATATATACAGCAACCAACTTTGGCAGACAAAGAGGTAGAGTATATAAGATCTTAATTGTGATAGTTTCCAAAAGACATTGCCTTCAATGGCACCAGACTCTCCAGGGAATGAGCAACAAAGGAAACACCAGAACCATTGACACCACCTCTGCTGCAAAGAGGGATGAGAAGGACAGCCAGGTTTGAGTGAGCAGAGCTCTACAGGACACAGGAGAATATTGGACATCTTCTGCAAGCCAAGAGGTGGCACTGAAGGCAGCAGGCAGCAGCAGCTGGCACTGGGACAGGGACATTGCAGCACTCCCACAGACCCTGGCATGCTACAGGTACTGCCTTTCCCCAGCTGACGGGCACAGAAGGACAGGGAGGGCAAAGCAGGATCTGTGCTAGCTAGATGCACACACACTCCTTATCCTATCAAGCATCTCCTCCTGCAGTTCAGCAGCACAAGGGACTCATGGGCAGCCCCTCAGTGCAAGGGAATCAATCCTTGCCCAGCTCTGCCAGGGACATCCCCTGCCCGCTCCCTCCCACCCCAGCAAGGGCAGTCATGCTTTACACATCTTATATTCGGCAGAACTGGGGGTGCTGTCCCGTTTCCTACAAACAAAAAAACAAGGCAGATCAGAGGTTTTTACATTGCAAGAGGTTTCACATTTACACTGAAAGCACATCCTTAGTTTTGGCATTAAAGCTGCAGGTGAAGTCACAAACTGGGTCAGTCTTTAGCCTCTCTTTACCAACTGCTGGACCGAGGAGATTTTAGCTTCATTCAGCTCCTGAACTGTCAGCAGTGACCCAGGGAGCAGCAGAGCCTTTGATCCAAAGGGATCATTCCCAGTGATGACTGATATTACCAAAAACTAACACCAGAACAGTTACAGGAGTCCCATAACTCCACCAGGTGCACCCTGGAGTTCATTTTAATTACAGTGTGTTGTTTAGTGTGTATTTTCTAACCAAAAATGAAATATTAGTTAGTGTGGATTTTGATACTGCAGTCCACTAACAGCAACTTTACAATACTTAAATACACAAGAATTAAAATTCACAATGATATTCTTATATATGTCCCAAGTTCTTGAACAACTCCTGTTTTGCCAAACCTCAGTGCTATTGCTCCAAGGCTCTAAGGAGTTCCTTATTCCATAAGAAAACCTCCAGAATTCCCAGTGTTTTGACACACCAGACCAGTAATTTCTCTTATCATGTGTAAAGGTAAGATTGGAATGAAGAATTCTATTCTATCTCCTGATTCATTTTTTCTCTCCAAAAATCAACCCAGAAAACAGATCCTATCTTAATTAGAAACATCTTTCTTCAGAGTGAAGATGATATTCCTTAATCTATACATTATTTTGGAATAAACTTCAAGCTTTATGTTCATATAAAAACTCACCAAAAGTACTGAAAATTCACCTGTCCTTTACAAGTCAATAAAATCAAGACTATGCACATGAAAAGACTTTTGCATTAAGCTGGAATAAGAGAACCCATCACCTCCTCAGAATCTGTGCAAAGGAGAAAAGCAACAGAAAAAGAAGATGCTGATTTAAAAAAAATATTTGTAGTTCCAGCTCTGTTGAGATAGGAATGCCAAAATACTGGCAAGGAAAAGTCAAACTGAGCTGTCCTGTCTGCAAAGTGCTCAGTTCAAACAAGGCAGGAAGAGCCAGATTTTGGAAGAGCCCATTTGACCCTACACAAGTGCAGGAGGAACCCCAACATTCATCACATGCATCTCACTGGAGTGAGGTTAAAATACAGGAGAGGACATCAGCTTCAAAGCAACTGCATTTTGATTCTTTTCAGAGCTACAGAACTCTGGATTCAAAAAAGAAATCACCTTTTCATAGGAAGGTTTCAAAAGTTCCTTGTTAGACCCTTCATTAATCCTCTTCTAGAAAGCAAAAATGCAGATGAATCAGTAATTGTGAGATGTGATCTGGTTTTCTGTGAAGGGATGCACAACTACCTTTAGAGTTTCAGTGCCCACAGGTGGTTCCAGCTTCTAATTACAGGGAATTAAACTATTAGCTAAGAAAAGTAACTCACCACTGGGATGGGTGCAGACATTCTTCTGAGTATTGTAGGCAATATGCTACTCATTCTTCAAACACAACACCAAGAAATGTGATTTAAATCATTGGAAGCTTTTAGTGACACTGCTAAATGATAATTCTCTCTATATGATATCCTGTTCTCCCAAAATAAATGAAAAGTTAAGAGATTCTTTCCTACAGGAAGCCAAGGTTCCCAGCTAGATGGATTCCATACTCCTGAAATTCCAAGCAAACCACAATAAAAAAAGACACTTAAGCTGCATTGCAAAAAGTCCAAATGAAGTGGAAAGGTATACCTTTTCATTAATTCATTTGTGCAGTTTCTTCCATCTCAGCTGGGACATTAGTTTTTAAAATACAAATTTCCTTGCAACTCTCATCAACTGTGTACGAGCTGAACAGCAGAAAGGGAGAAAGGTCTAACTGAATGTCCCATCCAAGGGCATTTCACACACAAAGAAACAGAGGCCAAGGAAAGATCTGCTGCCATTTGGAGGCTACAAACTGCAAGGATCAGGGCTGCAAGCACGACAACAAAGGCTCAGCTGCATCAGGAACTCAGAACACTAAACAGGGAGATGGAGGCTTTCATACAAGGAGATCAGATCAGGGTTTTCAGACAAGAAAGAGCTTTAGCAGTCAGATGTTCAGAGAGGAAGATGAAGGGAAGCATTAGGCACAATAAGGCTTTTCATGCTGTCAGATACTCAGCAATGTCACAGAGTTTAATTTTTGATGATGCTGCTTTAGATCCCTCCTGCTTTCTATGCCCTGAGAAGTCTCTCCATGGGTGAAGGCAGCAAGTGCTGCCCTGAACTGCCAGAGCTCTCCTCTGGCCCATCCAGGCTGCAGAATATCCAAGTACTGAATAAAAGCAGTGGCTCAAAAGCACCAAATTGCTCAGAGCACACTCTGGCCCTTGGATTGATACTCCACTGCTCATTTTAAGGCTAAAACCTCACTGGATATAAACCACCTCCAGGGCTCTCCAAGTCCTCTGTGTGGACTCCATTACAAATATGAACCACAGGAATATTCCCTCTGGCTTGCTTCATTTAAAGCATCCCTTCCTTTGTGTCATGTACTCCAGATAAATCCCAACAGATTCTGGAAAAAGACAACACTGATGAGATGCTCATCCTGACATTCCATGTGTCCCACCTAATCCACCTAACCTGCTCTGGACTGTCAGTGTTTTGCATTTTACAAAATATTTTCCTGACAAAAAGTTTTTTTCCAGAAGATAAAATCAGACATCACAGCGAAAAGCAATGCACAAAGAGGAATTTAAATCTCCTGCCTCTCCATCAAAAACCACACATAAACCCCAGTTGTTTTGAAGATAAACTTTAAAACACCCTACAGGTCTCATCAAAAACAGAACACTGATTGCTTGTGCACACATCTAGCATTTTACACTTGATTTTGCAAGTCTTTAACATAGGGACACCAACATTGAGGCTAAGGAGAATAAAAACCTGAAAACCTTCTGGCAGCACAAGCCCATAGAAGCAAGACTCCCCCTGGCTTTAGGAGATAAACTGATATGTTTGAAGCAGATGGACAAAATACTTTCCTTGGCAAGTGGACACTGCCAAACACAGGCTTGAGAACAGGGCTTTTCCTTCCTTGAAATTAGTGCAAGTGTTAATTAGCATCTTAGCTGAACAGCAGATCCAAAACCAAAGACAAATTCATGGTTAGGCTTTAGCTCCCATCAGCTGCTGGGAGGAGCTCACACAAAAATCAGACATTTGAAAAAGAAAGGGCACACAAAGCTCAAGAAACTTAAACATCAGCATAGCTTTGGCTCAGTCATTTGGAAACTTGCAGGATTAATAAAAAGGAAGCTTACTCACCCATTCTGTGAGAAGAATTTCTTGTAGATCCAGAAGGCTGCCAGGAGCACCACAACTACCACAATCACTTTAGGAAGAAGTGAAAAAAAAAAAGCACCTTAGAGTGATAAAGATCACGTCCAGCTCACAAAAAAGCAACAAAATTTTTGCAGAAATAGCCTTGTTTTCATCTACAGGTCTATCCCACCTCTACCCCCCTAAAAAAACCCCACAACCCAACTGATTTATGGAATGAGCCATGTTAATTAAATATTTGATTCTTCAAGATAGTTCAGCTCAGAACCAGTGACCACCAAGATGGCAAAACCCCACCAGCTCAGAAACTAAAACAGGAATGACAAGGCCCCAACATTTTTTACAAGTTTATACAAATCTGGGTAACAAAGGCAAGGACAGAGGATGGACTGAACACTTCCATTCACTGGCAGAGTTATTTACTCACACCTCCAGTAAACCCAAGCTCTGAAATTTGTCCAAGTGGCCACGTTGTTGCAAGCTGCCTTTGAAATGTGACCTCACCACACGACAAAATACACATTTCACACTAAATTAAACTGTAAGAGCTAAGCCATCTTTCTTTGAATCATGCAGCTTTAACCAGAACTCTAAAATCACCCTATTGTAGTCCCAGGTGACTGGAATCAAAAATGGACTTTCACATAAAAAATAGAATTTGTATTGTATTTTTTAAGGTTTTAGAAAATACTTACCACAGATGATGGCTATAATATATCCACCTAAAAACAGAAGGAATCAGTATCACAAGAGGAACACAGATGCTTCTTGCTCAAATATTATTATAAAAATATTCACAGAGCTATTTCAAGTCAAGTACTTCTATCAACACAATCTTTGAGGCAGACTAATTTAAATAATAATATTTAACTTAGAACATGAGTATTTTAATTAATTTTAACAAACCCGATTTTTCCCATTAAAATAAAGCAGGAAGCTGCATTAAATCATTTCTCCTGAATACAAAAGGACTGTTTTCTGAGCTGCGTTTTCATCCTAGTGGAGATTTTGCAGCCCATACTTACTGAGCTGGCAGGTTGGCACAGCTGGCACCCACTGGTTGTTCCCAATGTACTGAATCCGAGCCTCCCCATTCAAGGTGTACCCCGGGTAACATTCAAAGGTAATGAAATCCCCCACAGAGTAGGAAGGTTTTTCTCCATCTATCACCCTCCCATAACTTATGACTGGTGTGGAACCAGAACCTTCAGACTCACCTGGAAAGAAAAGGGGGGAAAAAATAGTAATAAATGTATTTCTACATCAGAGATAAAAATCTTGTCAGTCTGCTCCCGATTTTAGCAATTTTACTCGCAGGCACAGTGCTCCTTTTGCACAGGCAGGTTTGTCTGGGATCAGGACCCCCATACTTACTGAGCTGGCAGGTTGGCACAGCTGGCACCCACTGGTTGTTCCCAATGTACTGAATCCGAGCCTCCCCATGCAAGGTGTACCCCGGGTAACATTCAATGGTGATGAAATCCCCCACAGAGTAGGAAGGTTTTTGTCCTTCTATCACTCTCCCATGACTTATGACTGGTGTGGAACCAGAGCCTTCAGACTCACCTGGAAAGAAAAGGGGAGGAAAAAAAAAAAGTATTACTGGATCAGATATTTAAAACCTGTCACTCTGCTCCTGATTTTAGCAATTTTACTCACAGGAACAGTGCTGTAAAGCACCCCAGGAACTCTGTTCTTGACAGGTCACTGTCACCTCTGCAGAGCCATCAGGGAAGGAGCAGCCAGCATTGCACCTGATCTGCACAGCCTCTCCTTTTGCATAGGCACCTTTGGCTGGAACCAGGGCCCCATTGGGGATCTTCGGGGCAAGACACATCTCTGGAGTAACTAATACAGGAATTTAAAACAAGTTCAGTGAGAATAAAGTTTATTTCACAACTCAGTAACTCATTCCACAAACACAAGTTGCCTTCATGTAAGAAAAACAGCTCAGCACATGTCCGAAGTTTAGCTTTACCCCAATTTTAAGTACAAATATTCCCCTTAGAAAACTTAAACATCACTGTAGACATTCATTAGGGTAATACAATTCTATGACATGGCAGCTCAGAAATCCTTACTGGTTCATTATTTCTCTGAGCTCTAAAATAATTTCTAGAAAGTAGGAGCTGAAGAACTGCATAAAAAACCACACACACAAAGATTTCCACTACTCCAGAAGGATACTACAGCTTTGCTCACTGTGCATACTCCTAATTCCCTGTATCAAACATTTTCCCCTGTATTCCACATCTTTTCTCCTGCCTTCACCCATGAAATCACTACCACACCAGGATGCTCTATTTTAGCTAACAAAAGAAAAGGGAATATTACAGAAAGTCTTACTTTTCTCACAGGTTGGTTGTGGAGGAACCCAGATGTTATTTGCTTCACAGGTAATTACCTGTGCTCCAACCATGAAATAGCCTTGATTACACTCAAACACAACTGAGTCCTTGTATCTGTAGGGAAGTCCAAATCCAGACATTTTTCTCCCATTTTCAACTCTGGGGTCTTCACATTTGACCACTGAAAGAGGCAAAACATTTGTTAACACAAACATGTGTTAATAAATGAAAACAAAGCTTGGACACATTTGTTAACACAAACATTTGTTACCAATGAAAACAAAGTGTGGAAACATCTGTTAACACAAGTATGGCAAACACAACATCCTTTTCCCTACGTGCCAATTTCCACAAGTTGTTTTGGAGAAGCTTTGTAGAAACATTGATTCCTGCACTTCCACAGTGGCTGTTTTTAGGAACAGGATTCTTCCTTAGCTTTTTACAAGTCCTATCCAGCCCCCACATCCTTGCCCTTGACGCAATTTTTCTGCAGGATTTGTGGTCTCCCAGTTCCCTCACTTTGGCCTTGTCACTTCTACCAACAAGACACTCAAATTACAGCTGTTTTTCAAGCTTTAACTTAAATTTTAGCAATATTCTATTCATAATCCATCCATATCCACCATGCTGATGTTATCTCACTGGAACTGTACCAAACTTTGTACCACAGCATTTGTTCCTTCTTTCCTAGAGGCAAAGTCCATTCTCCCCACCCCACTTCCAAGGAAAGGGCCAGACACTGTAAAAAAATAAAAAATAAAAAGAAAAAATTCAAAAACCTCGACATTCTGGAGGTGGCCCACTCCAAACTCCATTTGAGTTTGCATCAGATGCGCAGTAAATGGTGTCTGAGCCAATGAGGGAGAAGGGATCACTGCCCTTGGGGACATCCAGGCACCTGTAGGTCACTGAGCTCTGGTACACGTAGCTGCCTCTCTCCTCGTACTCCCCGTTGGCTATTTTGGGAGGTGGCTCACAAGGAATTACTGGAAATAAAGCACAAAAATTGCTCAGATTGGTTTTGCTGGGTTAGCTGGGTTACCTGGTTCACCTCAAAGAGCAAACCTTGGTTTTTCAGTCATTCCACTGAAAATCTGACACAGTCACTCGAAGCTACAGAACCTCAGCTTCAACATGAGGTTGATTTTAATATGAGATAATAATATGAGATAATATGATTTTAATAGGAGATAATTACCACCAAAACTGACATTTTTCAGTGGTCAATCATCAGGCATAACCCAAGTAGTTAAGAAAAAAATCATCTCTGCTTTCCCATCATTTTTTATACTGGAAAGTTGGTGGCACAGCTGTTTGTAAGTGAACTACCCCATCAGAACAGAAAATCAAACACAGCAGTAATTTACTTACTTTCACAGTAAGGCAGAGCTCCACTCCAGTCAACACCTCCATTCTTGATATCACAGGAAATCTCTTCCTTACCTATTAATCTGTATCTAGACAGGTAAAAATTTTGAAGAAGTGAAATTTAAATTTCTCATTTCCCCAACAAGCACCAAAAAATTGTGCTTATCAATAATTCTGTTCTGTGATTACAGGGACATAACACAACAAGGTTTTGTTGTAATGAGAACAGAATCTTGCTTATTTTGCTGACAGTCTCACTTTGAAAACAAAACTAAAATAAAAGAGAAATCACTAAGGAACTGTGGAAGTCTTACAATTTTTGGAAATATCCTCTAATATTAAAGTCCTAAAATTACTGATACTCAAGGAAAAGATAAAAAAAAACCTCCTTAGTGTTGTTGACTTAATTATTCAATAATGAAGGATGATGAATATATATCTACCCCCTCTGCCACAGGAGCATTAGAAGAAGTCACCAGAGGTAACACTGCAGTTCTGCAGAATCTCACTAAAAAACTTAGGGTTGATGCAAAGAGTAATTAAACCATGGAATCAAAATAAATTTTACTGTAATTTCATTTGCTACAGGTAGAAATCAGACTTCGGGTCAGAACTGGAACAGAAAATTTGGGTTTATTTCAAATGTGGTGTAAACATTAAAAAAAAAAAAAGAATCATTAACTTCACCAAAACACTTACCCTTCATTACAACGAAATGTCAATTTTGAACCAAATGTAAGATCTCTTGCATCAAAATAACCATTTTCCAAGGGTCCTGGGTATTTACATTTTCTTGCTGGGGGAAGGGGTGGGGGGGGGGGAAGAAAAAGAAAAGAAAAAATTCTACATTTTTGTAGTTACATACAAAGACAAAATCTTTAGCACTTATTGTTCTTACCCACACCAGCGTTTTCCAAGCTTCATGTAAAATATAGCAAAACCCTAATTCCCACTTGCAAAGCCACTGAAACTGGTAAATATCAGTAGGGAAAAAGGGGTACAAAAACTTACCTGTACAGGAAACGCTTCTTTGTGACCACTGCAAGTTACTACCACATGTCCAGGTCAGTGACTTCCCTGGGACCCTAATGTATCCTGGCCGGCAGGTGAAGGAGATTTTGATTCCAGGTGGAAAATCTTGGAGTTCCCTGGAGCTCTCGTCGAGCTCTGCATTCTGCTGCCGCTCCGGCCTGGGACACGAGCCTGGGAGAGGAGGGAAACAACAACACATCACCTTAGCAACAAGAAGAGAAACACACCGAGTGTACCAGCACAGGAGACAGAATCATTCAAGAGTTCTTAAGGATATATTTAAGTCGTTCCCAATTTTTTTAATTTAGGTTTTAACTGCGTGCAGCGTCCAGCTCTATACGTGTATAGGGTTACTCATTGTTTCCTCAAGTTCTTTAGTCATTCTACCCAGACAATGCACTTCCTTCCAGACCCTATTCTCAGATTTTTGTCTGTTTGCCTTTATTTTGTAGTTAAACACACGACTTCAGTCACTGTACACCCATTTCGTTTGCTTCATGAAAAACAAACAAGCCAGCCCCACTCACAGAGCTCATTGTCCCGTCTTAGGGAAAAGGAAAGCGGGTGTAAGGGATAGAAAGCCGAGTTTAGAACCCGCTCCAAGGCCAGGCTGGAGGGAGGCTCAGCGGCAGGTGTCCCTGCCCAGGGCACGGCGGAACGGGATGCGCTTGGAGGTCTCTCCGCACCCGAACAATGTCACAATTGCCTCGATTCAAACCCGCCCAAACCCTCGCCCAAACCCGTCCTTAGAGCGATTTCCTTCCTTCCTGCCAGCCTCGCCCCCCGGCAGGCCCTGAGGGCACCCTCGGCACCGCGGGGACCGGAGCGGGAGGAGGGCACGGGCACCATCGCGATCCCAAACCCGATCCTGACCCCGATCCCGATCCCCATCCCGATCCCCATCCTGATCCCGACCCCGTTCCCGATCCCTCCTCCCAGCCGCGGCCCCCCGAGGGCTCCGCGCCGCGCCCGCCGCTCCGAGCGCCCCTTCCCCACCGGCACCGCCCGCTCGGGGCAGCAAAGAGCGAGCGGCCGCTGTCTCACCCTGAGCCCGGGCTCCGCTGAGCTGCCACAGCACCAGCACGGGCAGCAGCAGCAGCAGCAGCGCCGGCAGCACCGAGAGCCGCCCCATGCCCGCAGCGGGGCCGCGGCTGCGGCCGCTCCGCTCCCTCCCGGCGCCGCCGGAGACGCAGCGCGGGGCCGGGTGCGCATGCGCGGCCCGCCCCGCCCGGCCCGCCCTCAGCGCGGCGCCGCCATGGCCGGGCCCGGCCGCCGGGGCCCTTCACGCCGGGGCGGCTCCCTGGGGACGGCTCGGGCCGCTGTTCGGTCCGGGATCGCTGATGATCCCCGGACCGAGCTCGCCGTGCCGGTGTCACACACAGGCCTGCAGGGTAGGGCGGATTCCAGGCACAGCCCCTGTGTTGTCATGAGTTAATTGCCACGCTAATGACGCAGTCCCGGCTCGGTTCTACGCATGCTCGGGGAAGGCTCTGGTTGAACCGAAAGTGTGATTTTTAGCAGGGTAATAATCGTTGATCAGCTGAAGAATACATCAGCTTTGAGTGTTTTGCCAAATGTATGCATCAGCATCTTCATTTACTTCATCCTTAAAGATAGTTCATTCGGGGATGCCCTTGACTAAGGGATGCTCCTGCCTGCTTCTCTTTTATTGATAAGGATTGAAAGTATACAAAGATCTTCCATCAAAGATCTTCCCTGACTTAAAGTAATCTTGGAATATGTGGACATATTCCTCATTTTACAACACCCTCAGCGCATTACAGCCCTGGGTACGAGGAGATCAAATCCTTTCCTGAGTGGCTGAAGGAAAGAGGGAAAAAAATCAAAGTGTGTTTAGGTGCCACATTGGAACACCAACAGTGATAAATTAAAAATAACAGCCAGCTCAGGATGGACATCCCTGTGCAGAGCTGCTTGCCTTTGGAAGTTAAATTTTAAGTTCAATCCTGTGTGTGGTGGAGCAGTATTAAAATAGAACAGCCCAAAAATGTTAAAAAAAAAACAAAGCAGAAAAGACTTAAAGTTCTGGGTAGGCATAAAAGAAGACACAGAATTGTCATCATCAGCTTTTATTAGGTTAAGCATTGGTAGAGGAACACTGCACATAAGCGTTGCTGGAAGGAAATAAACATGTAAATACAGCTGTAATTAAGACATTAATTAACACATGGTTTCTCCCACGTTTGTTCAGGTATATTTTGGTGAGCACAGGGGGATAGGGAATGGGGGTTATGGCCAGTGCATTATTGATTGTTTCTTCCTACAAAGGTTTGTGGTTATCCAGTTTTTTGGGGACAAAGGAGATTATTCTGCATCAGGAGCAGTGCACAGAATTCCCTGCCAGGGAGCACCTGCACTGTGTGCAGTCTGAGCCTCATTAGATCCTTACAGTAACTGCAGAGAGCAGAACAGCATTGAAGATTTACAGTAAAATGTCTTTTTTTTCTGCCACAGAATTCCAGTCTCCACGTGAGCGGCGCTTCCTCGCTGCAGGGAACGAGCCGGGTGCCTGGTCAGCAGCAGCAGGGATGAGATCTCTTTCCAGCCTAGGAAAGAGATGATATCCTGGTGTTCAAATCAGCATTTCCTGGCTTTGTGCTGGTGTGTAGAGATTGCATCGCCACCCGGAGAGAGAGGAGGGAATTTCTGGGAAATGCTTCGTTTCAAAGAAATCACACAAAATTGATGTTGTTTGCATGTCCCACTTTGTATGGGAAGTGCTGATAAACAGTGAAAATTCACTGCTGGCTGCAATAGAGCCACCATAGAAAATAGATTCACTTGTAAGTAAAAACACCATTTTAGTAAGTATGAAAGCAATAAAAAAACCCCAGAAATCAAGTTCAGTGTCCTTTTCTGACTCTACTACCGCTGAGGCAGTTTTGCAGCTTTTTCATAATCTGTACAAATTAAAAGCAGCTTTAAGTCAGAAGCAAGGACTGGTCTGGGAGTCTGACCTGTGCACACCAACTATGCAGACTGTGAAAAAGGAAAGGCACACTTTGAGGGTGCTGTCAGAAAGAAAAACAGGCTGTTTTAAAACCCCAATAGGTTTAAAACATCTTCTATTCAGCAAAAGAAAATATTCTATCAGAAGACAAAAAGGAAAGAGGTTTGTACTTGAATTATTGTATTAGGAAAATAGTCAGTCAAGGAGACAATGCAGTCAGCAATATAAACAAATGACAGTGTAGTTATTGCAGCTCTAACTGATATTTTGTGCTGAGGAATATAAATCCATACCTCCTATGGCAGACACGAGCCTTTGTGATCAGTGTCTGGGTTCAGGGGGGTTCTGTAATTATAGTTTTCATACGTATGATAATAGCTACGTGAAAAAGAAGAAAACAATGAATTGCCTTGTAAAAGAACACTTGGTTCGGTTTCCTTTAAGAAAGATAGGCTTGAAATGAAATTACATAACCACGCCATGAGTTCCAGGTTGTGTCATTTGCAACCTGAGCTGAAGATACAAAATTACAAGGCCCGGACACACTGAGGCAAATATTTCAAGTGTATCAAGCCTATAAAGCTTGGGACTCGGCAACAAGGGACAGGAACAAAGAGCCAGAGCTGCCTTACCCTTCCTTCTGCTTGGAAATGATTTTCCAGACAACACCTGCCCCCAGGAGCAGCAGAACTGCTGCAGCTGCCACTCCTGAGGGAGAAGAATGCAGGTTATTCTCACTGTGTAAAGTACACAAAATGCACAGCAGAGTGTAGCTGCCAAGTAAGCAGAGGGAGGCTGTGCCACTGAGCTGGGGACAAAAATGTTTGTAAGCTGCTTACCTAAGCCTACTGACCCGGGCTTGGGGGATGCTGGAGAGAAGGGGAAAAAGGAAAATCAGCAAACTGTTCTACCAAAATACAGCGTTTCTCAACTGTCCTTAATCAACACCAATAAACCTTTTAGAATCACAGGATGATTTGGGTTGAAGGGACTCAAAGCTCACCCAGTTCTACCCCCCTGCCATGGGCAAGGACACCTTCCACTGTCCCAGGCTGCTCCAAACCCCAATGTCCAACCCGGCCTTGGGCACTTCCAGGGAACCAGGGGCAGCCCCAGCTTCCCCATGCCAATGTCTCACTGCCAACACCCACAACACCAGATTTCTGAAAACCACACCCCTGTACACTTCCTTATTTTAAAAATACAGCCAGACATTTGCATGTTTAAAATGCATTTGCAGTCTTGTGCTTGATCTTTGCTTTGTTTACGTTCCACTCACTCAGTTTACAGGCTGGCACGGGAGGGTCCCAGCTGAAATCCTCCTGGCACTGGGTGTGACTGATGCCTTCCAGCACGTACCCATCGTCACATTCAAGAGTGATGTTAGTGCCAGAGCGATAAGTACTTCCTTTAATGGCTTTTTTAACACCTTGCACATCCGGGAATTCACATCTGATCTCTGAAATTGGAAGCAGTAAAAAGAGGACATTTAGAGGGAACACAAAATGAGAAACACAGCTGTGGGTTATTTAGGACATTGCTCTTGAGTTCCTCCTGAGTGTAGCCAGGAATTAACTCTCATTCCGCAGATCTGGGGAAGTGCCTCAGTCGCAGGTGGAATCCCAAACACCAGAGGCAGCGCAGACTCACCTTTGCACTGCGGGAGGGGCCGGCTCCAGGTCCCCGAGCCCGTGCAGCTGATGAAAGCGTTCCCAACCAGCGAGTAACCGGGCTCGCAGCTGTAGGACACCGCGGCTCCCCGGGGAAAGGCGGCAGAGGCGTTCCCTTCCAGCCTCCCGTTGGTGATGCTCGGAGGCTGCGGACACTTCACAGCTGGAGAGTCAGGGAGAGGATCAGCAGGATGCTGAAGGGGGGCCAGGGAGTGGCTGAGGCACCGACCCCTCTGCAGCCTCGACTGCTCCCTTTGAATTTCTGCACTCAGCCCGGACCCCTGTAACTCCAGCAGGCTTTGGAAAGGCTAAAAATTGTGCTTATCACACATTCTGTACTCAGCCTGTGCTTATCACACATTCTGTGCTCAGATTTGGACTTTCTACAGACCTTCCCCTAAGGCAAGACTTGTTAAATGTCCTTTGTTCTTTGCTCTCTGCAGCCAAAACGCACCTTGACAGACAGGAGGGGGATGGCTCCAGGCTCCAGATGCTGTGCAATAAATGGATGCTGTCCCCAGGAGGGAGAAGCCAGGCTCACAGATGTAGTTTACAGATGTTCCCACAGTAAAAACTGCTTTTGCTGGGCCACGGAAAGACCCGTGGGTGATATTTGCAGGCTTGGAGCAGTGCAGCACTGAGAACAGAGCGTGGAGATCAAAGCAGAGCTCAGAGAAACAAGAGGGAAAACTTCAGAGCAGCTGGGGAAGGCTGAACTCTCCCTCCCACAGCACTGACCCCACCAGCCCTGCCCAACCCTCTGCAAAGTTCCCTCAAAAAAGCAGGACAGGTTGGGAGGGGGAGTCAGTGATTAGTAAATCAAATCTTGCCTCTTCAGGTAAGAGACCTACCTGGCTTTGTTGTGGGGTCAGGGTGGTGATAACGTTCTGACACTCCATCTAAATGCAGCATTAAGAGTTTAAAAACATGGTTGAGCAAATAAAATGTACACATTTACCTTCATTTCCCGTCATCCTGGTGTTACATTTCCAGGAAAATATTCACAGCTCTCTGATAGTCTATGTCCTGCAGCTACCAAATTCCTCATTTCAAGGAAATAAGAGAATGTAGATTATGGATTGCAACAAGCAGTGTGAGAACGTGCAAGTCATGTCAGTACTTACAGCATTACCCAAGCCCTGCTCATCTCCTGTGTGTGAAGAGAGGCATGAATGAAAGGAAAAACTTCTGGGTTCTCCTTAAAGCAGTTGGAGCAAACAGGAAAAATAAAACCAACTTTGGGTTCGGTGAGTGAAACCATGAGGAATGTGCAATCCCAACAAGGCCAAGGGCTGATTCTTACCCTGCTCACAGACAGGCACAGGTGGGTGCCACCTCCTGTCCCCTTGGCACTGGGACGTGGGGTGGCCTCGCAGGGTGAAGCCTGTGTGGCACTTGAAGAAGACAGAGTCCCCGTAGGTGTAGCGGGGCCTGGGGACAGCCACCCTCCCATTCTGGACCTGTGGGGCTGGGCACACCACCCCTGAAAGAGAAATTCCTGTTTAGGGGTACAAAGCCATGTGAGTGCTGAATGAACACATCCAAAATTCATTCTCAGTGTGCTCAGAGCAGTTTCACAGGTAGGACTTAGAGACTCAGATAAGAATAATTCCAGGAACTGAGGGGAGGGGTTTTAGTTCTTTGAGGTACCTTAAGGGAACCACAATATTATTATTTTTATATATATTTATATAAACATAGATGGTGTGAATATATTCTAATAAATACATGAAATGGGGTAGAAAAATGGCAGTACTCATGAATGCTTTACTATCAGTCATTCTCATGAATGCTTTACTATCCCAACCTCAAAAAGCAATTCCATCTGAAAAAAAAGACTAATTGCAATGATCAACCTCTGCAAAACATCCTTGTACTTCAGATAACAGTAGAGGGTTTGGAAAATTCCATTTCAGTGGTACTCAAAATGTCACTCTTCTACAAAACACTTTTTTTTACTTGATTTGTTATTTATTGTTGTGAAACAAAAGGGACAAGCCCCTGCAGGCATCTCACAACTCTTCAGTCTGAATTGCTGTGACAGATCAAAGCTTACAACTGGAAGATTTTCAGAAGAAACCAAATATACAAGCATGAAAAAAAACTAAAAACTATCCCAGAGGAATATAATCCTTTAATAGTCTTATTCATTTAATTCTATTTATTTAAAGGAAACGCTTTTTAATTTTAAGGACTTAATATGGCAATTCTGGCCCCAATGTAGCGCTGACCTACTTACTTTTACAGACGGGAGGCACACCAGTCCAGGCAACATCTCGTCCCAAAATCTCACATCTCCTGTGGGACTCTCCAACCAGCCTGTACCTGGAGGTGCAGAGAGAGAAATATCAGCTCAGACCAAGTCCCTCAGCTTGGATTCTTCCCTCCCCAGAGGTTTCCTTCTGCAGCCTCCTGATTCCAGCTGATCACCAAGGTCTCTCTGCTGGTTTGACACGTGGGAATGGAGGACACCAAGTTGCTTCTTCCCAGATCCAAGGGGAGCAACACTGACCCCAAAAACTCTGGTTAGATAGGTCAGGTGATAAATCAGGACCCAACTGATTTCCAAAGGGCTGGAGCCTCCCTGCAGCACGGCCTTGCTCCCACTCTCAGCTCCTGCTCGAGGCCATCTGAGAAGGAAAACTGAAACTGGTTTGCAAATTAATCTGCTGAGCACAGGAGGGAAAAGTGAGACAATTCTCCCTTTCTGGAGCAGGCAACTATGGCAGAATTAGAACCAAAATTCCAATTCAGGTCTGCTGTGGGAGAGCAGCTGTGCAGAGCAGTGGCTCTGATCCTTTACCCACCACCAAACTCAGACAGGAGGCAGCAAAGGCAGCGTGGGACTCACCCTTCGTCACACGTGTGGCTCACGGTTGACCCAAAAAGGAGATCTGTCAGAACAACAACTCTGCCATTCCTGGGGGGTTCTGGGTGGCTACATTGCTTCCCTGGGAAAGAACAAGGCTTTGTTTAAACTCCTCTCTTGAGCTTGTGCTACGCACTATGAGAAGGTACCTTAAGGTTCTGTCCAAGCTCTGCCACCACCAAAGATGTGATTTCAAAAAGGCCCAAAGCGGCCCAGACCGTGTGACTAGTAAAGCCATGTACCAATCTTTCCTTCAAAAACCCACAGAATAGCCAATTTCCAATAACCAACACCAAATGGATGGAGCTATTCACTTTTACAGAACTCTAGGGCTTCAGACCACGTGTGGTTTTGGAGGCAGGTCAGAGTTTGGGGCACTCCGGGGCGTCTCGAGTGTCCCGGCCGGCAGCTGTAGCTCACGGTGTCCCCAACAGCAAATTCCTGCTGATTTCTGTATTGCCTGGATAGCTCAGCAAAGGTCAGGTTTGGAGGTGCACCACAGCCACCTATCAGGGGAGAGAACATGGGGAGAAACGGACATGTCAGCTACAAAAATTGTTTTAAAATGCATTTTGAGTATGTACAGCTTAAAATGGCTGTGCGAAATGGGTAAAAAAAGGGGAGAGTCAAGGATTCAGAATTCTGGGAAGGCAAGGATGAATCCTAGAGGTATAAACCCCAGGCTATCCACAGCTCCAAGCCCAGAGCCACAGTGTACCTGCACACTGAGGGAGAGGGAGGCTCCAGTTGCCAGAGCTGGTGCAGTGGATGGATGCCTCTCCCCGCAGGCTGTAGCCAGGGTCACAGCTGTAGTTCACAACCATCCCAGCGGGAAAAACCTCCAAGTCCTGGCTGTCATGGGTTCCTTTGGTAATATTGGGAGGTGAAGGGCATTGCAGCACTAAAGATAGAGGACAGGACAAAACAAAACTGAGAAAAGGGCAGGGCCATGACCCTGGGATAGGTGGGGAAGTTGGGGTGGTTCAGCTTGAAGAGAAGGCTCCAGGGAGACTTCAGAGCCTCTTCCAGTGCCTGAAGGGGCTCCAAGAGAGCTGGAGAGGGACTGGGGACAAGGGATGGAGGGACAGGAATGGCTTCCCACTGCCAAAAGTCAGGGTTGGGTGGGATATTGCGAAGGAATTCCTCTCTGTCAGGGTAGGCAGGGGAGTGCCCAGAGCAACTGAGGCTGCCCCATCCCTGGAAATGTCCAAGACCAAGCTGGACAGGGCTTGGAGCAAGCTGGAATAGTGGAAAGTGCTCATGGCAGGGGTTGAAATGAGCTGATTTTAAGCTTCTTAAACTCAGTGTCATAGGAGAAGAATCACTATTTCCAAGAGTCTGCCCAAGCCCTCCAAAGGAGGGAGTGGTGAAGGGGAAATTACAAGGCTTTAGTGCACAACAATTTAAACCAATTGGAAGCAGCTGCAAAACTTACTTTTGCAAAACTCCTGGGCTTCAGACCACGTTAGATTTTCAAGACATGTGATAGTTGGTGATATCTGTGGCTGTTCCACATATCCAGGCCGACAAGTGTAGTTCACAGTCATCCCAACAGGAAACTCAGTCTGATTTTCATATTCCTCGCTTAGCTCAGCAAATAGCAACGGTGTTGGTGTGCCACAACCGGCTGCCAAGAAACGAAATGGGCATGAGAAATGTGTCCTTGGCTGTGAAATGCAGCTACAGAGAAACAGGTGCATTGATAGGCACTGCTAAACCCCAAGTTATTAATGTATCTTTTTTGTACTCAGACATTTGTCTGCATCAAGTAACACTCAGTATGTAAGGACACAGGCACCTAATTCATGTGGCCTTAAAACAAAATGAGATAAAGCAATGCCCAAAAAATAGTCTGGTCAGTGTGGTGCCTTCACACAACCCTGAGCTGTGGAGTATAGAAATCTTTAATTTCAATATCTAGAACACCCAAGCCTGTCTCCTTTTGGGAAACTTGAGCAGTGCCACCACCTTATTCCCAGTGCCACCAAAGTGAGCACAGCTCCTGCTGTGGTTCTCCCCATGCCGTGCAATCCTGCAGGGTGGAAGGTTTGCCTGATCCAGGGTGAGCCTGGCACGGGGTGGATGCTGAGCCTGGCAGGGAATGGAGGCTGAGCCTGGTACAGGGCGGATGCTGAGGCTGGCACGGAATGGAGGCTGAGCCTGGTACAGGGTGGATTCTGAGCCTGGCACGGGATGGATTCTGAGGCTGGCACAGGGATGGATGCTGGGGCAGCCCCACCTGCACAGCGAGGGTAGGGAAGGCTCCAGTTGCCCCAGGCCGTGCACAGCACCGAGGGGTCCCCGAGCAGGGTGAAGCCAGGCTGGCAGCTGTAGCTCACGGAGGTGCCACTGGTGAAGTTGGTCCCAGGCTGGGCGCTGAGCGTGGCGTGGGCGATGACGGGGGGCGGAGGGCAGGGCCGCGCTGCCAGGGCAGGAGCAGAGAGCAGAGGTTGTTTAGGGGTTGCACCCTGAGAAAAGGCACTGGTACCACGGCAAACCCCGTCACACTGGCTCACCTGGCTGGCAGGTGGGCACAGCGGGCACCCAGCGGCTGTCGGGCTGGCACTTGGCCCCACGGCTGCCCCTCAGCACGAAGCCTGGGTGGCACTGGAAGGTGACGTTGTCCCCAAGGTGGTACACAGCCCTCCGGCCCTCAGCCACCTCCCCGTCCTTGATGCTGGGGCTGTTGCAGGTGATCACTGCGAGGGAAGAGCAGCACATGGCTGGGGGCATGGCTGGGGGCATGGCTGGGGGCATGGTGCCAGAGCTGAGGGTGCTCCTCTGGTTTTGGGAGGCCCTGGGAGGGCAGTGCTCTCCCTTTGCACCGGGGGTAGCAGCGTTTGCAGCTCACCTTCACAGCGGGGGTACGGGATGCTCCAGACTCCCGATGGCAAGCAGGAAATCGTGCTTTTGCCAGCCAGGAGGTAGCCTGGGTCACAGTGGTACCTCACTGCCGTGCCAGGGATGAACTCTGCCACCCCCTTGCTGTCGTGCTGGCCGTTCCTGATCGTTGGAGGGGAAGGACACGGTGGCACTGCAAGGAGAGGAAATCATCCCAGCTAGCCAAGAGCTGGTACCACAAACACCCCTGTAGGGTGAGGCAGCCTTTTAACTTTGTGCTTTCCCTTTCATTTCTGTCCAGCAGCAACAATGGCTGTCACTGAATGATATTTCCATCCTAGCCTCTCTTACCTTCCAGCCTTCATGTTTTCTGAGCTTATTGACATAAAAATGATAGCTTCTCACTCTTTAGGCAACTACAGTAGTTAGTTTCCATCTGTGACCCTAACAACTTGCTATGATCTTCCTGTGGTTGTGAATGATATCAGGCACCAGCCTGGATTTTGTGGATTCATTTAAACAGCCCTACATTTAACAAGGATCAGAATCACAGAAACATTGAGGTTTGAAAAGCCACTACCCCATGTCCCCCAGTGCCACATCCACATGTCTTTTAAACCGCTCCAGGGATGGTGCCAAATGATGCCCACACCTCCCCAGGCAGCCTGTTCAGGGGTTTGGATGGGGATCAGAAGGATGGCAGGACATATTATGTGCATGTTTTCCCTTCCCAGCCCCTTTACCTCCTTTACAGGGGTTCAGAAATCAGCTGCCCCTCATTTGCACTTACACTTCTCACAGCTGGGGACAGGAGGGTGCCACTTGCCCCCAAACTGGCACTGGGACTCCTGAGAGCCCTTCAAGGCATAACCAAGGTTGCACTCGAAGATGATGATGTCCTCCAGGTTGTAGGTGGTCTCTGACCCGGCCACTTTTCCATTCTCGATCTCCGGCCTGGTGCAGCCAATTGCTGGAAGGGAAGAGCAGGAGGATGTGAAGAGCTGGGGATGTGAAACCCCTCCTGGCTGTGAGGGGCACTGGGCAGGGACAGCACCTTCTGCTGGGCCTTGCCATCCCTGTCACGGGCATTACAACATTTCTGACTCTTGTTCTTACACTAAATATCATTATTCAGCTGTTCCTGAGCGTTTGTACTCAGCGGGAACAGAAAGGGAAACCCACAGGGGCACAGGGGGCTCCTCCTGCCCCTGGCACCTCTGCTCGCTGCCCGTCCCTGGGGATTTGCTGGCAGTGGTTACACCGGGAGCCGAGGAGGGGGAAGGAGGCCCAGGAACGCACCTCGGCAGCGGGGCTGGGGCCGGCTCCAGGTGCCCCGGGCCGTGCAGCGGATGGTGGCGTTGCCCAGCAGGGAATAGCCCTCGGCGCAGGTGTAGCGCACCACGGAGCCCGGGCTGTGCCTGGCCCCGGGGCTGGCACCGTGCTGCCCGTTGGCGATGCTCGGCGGGGCAGGGCACCTCACCTCTGCGGGAACAGGGAAAGGCAGGTGAGAAATGGGGCAGGGCGAGATAAACACCAAAACCCCAACGTTCTGTGAGCAAAGCAGCGAGATAACGCGAGTGCAATCAGCCTTATTGCCGATGTGTAACTTTCCCAGGAACTCTCCTTAGCTCTTTGCTTCAGCAGAAACCAACATCCTGGTTTGTAGAGCTTCTTCAGAAGCAATAAATCAAATTAAGTTGTAATGAAAGCTGAAGCAATAATTGTACTCCCCCATCAGCATCAAAGAGGAAAAGCTGTTACACAAAAGCGCTAGCAAATAAGCGTTTTATGCTTTAAAAAGTGATTAAAAAATAGTAAATCCTCCGAGTTGTTTTGAGCACTGACATTAACTGCTGTGAATACATAAAATCAGTTGTGTGAGCTGTGTCCCCACGGGTGCAGGCCCTGCCCCAGGCTGTCCCTTGTGCCAGGGCCAGCCAGAGCCGGCTGTGGGCACGCCCCGAGCCGTACCTTGGCACCGTGGCACTGTCCCGCTCCACGTGCCACGCTCCCCGTCCCCAGAGGTGCAGGACAGGGAGGAGTCTCCAGCTAGGGCCAGCCCCGAGGCACAGGTGTAGGTGACCACGTCCCCAAGGGAGAAGGTGGCCCTGGAGCCGCCGCTGTGTGTCCCATTGGGGATGGCCGGAGGGGCAGCGCAGGTGACACCTGTGGGCAGGACAAGGGGACAAGGGAGGGTCAGCACTGCCCAGGAAGGGCACACACACACACACTGCCCAGGGCTGCAGGGCACACACACTGCCCAGGGCTGCAGGGCACACACAGTGCCCAGGAAGGGCACTGGCAGAGGGGAAGCCACCTCAGCAGTGACACAATGACCTGAATCACCAGTAACAAACTTTGCATGGATAAAATGACACATGGGAATGAAATCTGTCCCCTCCTGTGAGTCACTTCCTTGCTGCCCGTGTTTGGAGGTGCTGGGACAATTCTTACCTCCCTTTCCATAACCATTGGTGACACAGAGAGAGAAACTGGCCAGTGAGAGATACTTACCACTAACAGGCAGTTTAAAATATTAATGTTTCTTCGCAGTTTGCACCAGAATAAATAAAAGACCTTTGAAACCATTTTCAGAAGCATATCCAAACCAAAATGAAAAGAGAAAGGAAATATTTTACACATTCAGTGACTTGAGAAATCTTTTGCAATAAAACCTTTGGCTTGAAAGAAGTTCCACTTTATCTTGTAAACCATCTCCAAGGGCCTGTTGTGGTGGCCTACTTACGCTGGCAGACAGGAGGATCCCCACTCCACGAGACATGTGTGCCAGAGACCTCACAAATTCTCTGGGAGCCTCCCACCAGCTTGTACCTGGACCACACAGAAGGATTCATTATTTTAACAGTGAGATTTTTTTGATTTGAGATTTCTTTACAACCCTCGCAAGTGGCAGCCAGGAGTTCTGGCTTGGGAACTGGGTTGTGTAAAGCTGAAAATCCACTTCACTCTCCCCAGGGCAGGACTCACCCTTTGTCACAAGTGTAATTGATTTTGGACCCGAGGAGGAGATCTGTCAGGACAACAGCTCTGCCATTCGCTGGGTTCACTGGGTTGGGGCACTGCTTTTCTGGAAGGGAATGGCAGCCTCAGCTGTGCTCACATCCCAGCAGGGATGGCACCACAGAGCAGGCAGAGACACCCACAAAGCTGAGCTCATACCCCAGGGATGGCACCAGAGAGCAGGCAGAGACACCCTCAAAGCTGAGCTCATACCCCAGGGATGGCACCAGAGAGCAGGCAGAGACACCCACAAAGCTGGGGAAACACAGAAACCAGCCAAGCCTCCCACTTCAGGCTTCCAGCACTTGCAGGACGTACTTTTACAGAACTCCAGCGCTGCTGACCACGTCTGGTTCCTGAGGCAGGTGATGGCTGGTGACACCCCCAGGAGCTGGCTGTAGCCAGGCTGGCACTCGAATTCCACCCTGCTCCCCTCAGGAAACACTGTCTGGTTCCTGTAGGGCTCCTTGAGCTCGGCAAAGCCCAGCCTGGCAGGGGCCCTGCAGCCAGCTGCCAGGACAGAGAACAGCCAGGCTGTCAAAGAGCCACAAAAGGAGGATTGGGAGAGCAGGGGAAGGTTAAACCCTGCTGGGACACTTGCCCTGCTCGCAGACGGGCACAGGCGGCTCCCAGGTGTTGTTTGGCTGGCACTGGATCTCTCTGTGGCCACGAATGGCATAGCCTGGGTCGCACTGGAAGGTCACGGTGTCCCTGTGTGCGTAGGCAGCCCTGGCAGCCACGATCCTGCCGTGCTGGATCTGTGGGATGGGACAGTTCGCCTCTGGAAAGGAAAGAGGTGCAGTGCTCAGAACAGACCCTCGGGCAGAGCTGGGCAGTGTGAAGCCACCAAGGGCTGCAATTTTAAGACACTGGAAAATCATTTTCCTAGAGAAGATGTTGATCAAACATTCCAAGGGGAAAGGGGAGCAGGGTGGCACCCCAGCCTCCCCTGCTCTGCTGGCCCCAGCCTTGGAAGATGCTGGGGCAAGAATTCCAGCTGGCTGGAGTTTCCCAACCCGGATCAGCGGTGCTGGGGGATGCCCGGGGGTCCCTGCCCACCTCCGCAGGCCGGCAGGGGCTCGCTCCAGACGCCGCTGTGGCCGTCGCGGGTGGTGCAGTGGATGGAGGGCTCCCCGTGCAGGGGCAGCCCGTGCTTGCAGCTGTAGGTCACGGCCGTGCCGTAGTGGAACTCGCTCTGCAGCCGGCCCGAGTGCTGCCCGTTGGGGATGTCCGGGGGCGGCTCGCAAGGGATGCCTGCGGAGGGGCAGAACCTCAGCTCAGCAGCAGCACCACAGCACCCGTGGGGTGCTTTTTGAGCCCCTCAAGCTGAGGGGCACAAATATTTCTTCTAAAGATAAAATGAAGTGACCTCCCAGGTTGGGAACAGGATCCCACCCCCTGGCAGGTAGAAAGCAGAGCAGTAATCAAAACTCTGTGGGGGAAACAGCTGCGTGCTTTGCATTGCCAACTTTTAAAGAAATAATTCAAATACTTATTTAGCACCACTTGTATAAAATCCTGGCGCCAATCCAGGCACAGTCTGTGCGCCACCCGTGGTCCACACCTACCTGGAGAATCTGGGAAAAGCTTTAAAACCGCAGAATGTACCAACAAATGTTTCTTTCTTCCGTATGAAACAGCCCTGATCAGCCACACTACCTGATCAGCAGAGAAAGCCCAGGTGGGATCGCTGAGGAGCAGCGCAGCAGCTCTTGGGCACTCACCAGTGGCGGAGAGAGGGAACAAACCCCCGGCCTGGGATTTTGGGATTCGCGGCTGGCCCTGCCTCAGTGCTCTGCCTCTCCCTAGGACTGACCCTTGGTCTCCCTGGGTCTGACAGAGCAACCCCTAAGCTGAACATGTGTTCCCTTCCTCTCCTGCAATGGGCTCCTGCTGTCAGGCAGCAGCAGGATGCTCAAGCACTGCTGGAAAAGCTCCAGCTGAGGTGTTGCTTTCCATAATCCCTTCCGCTTTGGGATCTTGTACCTCTCCCACACTGCTTTCTTATGCCTCCTAAACCTTCTGGTAATTTCCCTGCCCACAGAGGGGAGAATTGCCTGTGAAAGCTTTGGTTGGAAAGAGGTGGCAGTCTCTGCTGGAAAATATTTCCCAGATCCATGCAAACCCCCAGAACCACAAGCTACTCACGCTGACAGAGGGGAGTGTGGCCAGTCCATGCAACACGTCCCCCAGAGATCTCACAGCGTCTGCTGGCTTGTCCAATTAACCTGTGCCTGGTGGAAAAAGGGTTGGTCATTCACCCCAAGGCATTTCAGCTGGAATTACTGTTCCTCCCAACCACCTGGGATGTGGGACCAGCCCTGCTGGCAGCAGAGCCGTGGCTCTGAAGGGGAAATTCCTTCCTTGCTCTGCCTGACCCATTTCCCAACATTTGTAGGGGATATATATATATATCCATTTTATATATATAAAAATATATATAAATTTATATTATATATATCCATTTTATATATTATATATAAATGTATATCCATTTTATATATATTATATATATATCCATTTATTTTTATATATGTATATATATATATGTATATAAAAAATACATATATATCCATTTTATATATATTCCCAGAATCCATTTACTGGAGTGAATGAACAGGGGTTAAAAAGGGCGACACTTACCCAATCCACATCCAAAGCAGGACTTACCCTTCCTCACAGCTGTAAACCACTGTAGAGCCAAGCTGGAGATTTGTCAGGGAAACAATCTTGCCATTCACAGGCTCACCTGGGTGACTGCACTGTTTCCCTGGGGAAGGAAAACACCCTTATATCCTGCCTCCCTACATCACAGTACCAAATTTGCAATTATTCCTCCAGTCCCCTGCCCACATTCCCAGTTCCCCCCACATGGGTTTCCAATTTCAAAGAGTTACATGGCTTTACTAGTCACATATTCAGAATAACACCAAGGTTTTGGCAGCATGGACAGAACCTGAGACCTGTTCCTCCTGCACCAACAGACACCAAATCAAGGAGCTATTCACTTTTACAGAACTCTAGTGCTTCTGACCACACTCCTCTCTCAAGGCATGTCAGAGTAGGTGACATTCCTGGCACTTTTGCATATCCAGGGCGGCAAGTGTATTGCACAGTCTTCCCAACAGGAAAATCAATGGCATTCCTGTGCTCCTCATTTAGCTCAGCAAACTGTAACCTTGTGGGAGCACCACAAGCACCTAGTGAGAGAGAAAAGAGATGTGAGAAGCAGGCAGGACAGGCACATGGGGGGCAAGCACACAGAGAGCACTGCTAGGAGGAAAGGGGTTTGGTTTGCCTTGCAAAAATGTTCATTTTGATTAACATAGCCATTAATAAAGACATTTTCCCAAAGGGCAGCAGAGGATTAGGTTCTTATTCCCAGGATAGGCTTGAATCTTCCCCTCAAAGGGTTTAACAACATTTTTTTAACAGGATTAGGGGACATAAAACAGCAGTTATGTCAGGTACCTGGGGACCTGGTGAAGGCGGTGTGGTGGGGCAGTGCTCTGTCACACACAGGAGCAGGGGGCTGCCAGCTGCCATCCTCCTGGCACGACAGGCTGGCACTGCCCTGCAGGCTGTACCCATCGTGGCACCGGAATGTCACCGTTTGCCCGGGGGCAGAGAGGAGCCCGTGGCCACCAACTTGCCTTCCGTTGGCCACGATTGGATTGATGCAGACAGTCCCTGGAATGAGGGTGTGCAGGAGGAGTCGGAGCAAGAGAAAACACAAAACCAGCGGCTGTTAATGTTGGAACCACAAAATCAGCGCGACGTCCACACAAACCTCCCCAGCTGTAGGAAGGCTTGGCGCTAATTGATTCCATGATACACTTTACATGGAATTAACCCTCTTGGAGGATCTGTTTGCACTGGTGACGGTATCCCCTGTGCACAGAGCCTGAGGGACAGAGCCCGGACTCACCTTCGCAGCGAGGCCGGGGCTGGCTCCAGTTCCCCGATGCTCTGCAGGTCACAGCGGCATTTCCCACCAGGTAATAGCCGGGATCGCAGCTGTACCTCACAGACATCCCAGCGGTAAAAAACGCTTTGTCCCGGCCGTTGTGATTTCCATTGGCCACCTCCGGAGGCATCGGGCACGGCCGGACTGCGGGAGGGAGATGGGAAATGGAGCTCAGCGAGAGAACGGGGTGTGAGGGGAAGGCAGGCAGAGTGATGTGCACGCAGGGGTTAAACCCCTGCCTGCAGCCCCGATCCCGAGCAGCACTCACCCCTGTGGCACACGAGCTCCGGCGGGTCCCAGGCGCCCCCGGGCTGGCACCGAGCCTCGTCGGAGCCCTCTGCTGCGTGGCCGGGGTGGCAGCCAAAGTGCAGGGTGTCTCCAGCTCTGTAGGTGCTCTGCGCGTTGTGCACCTGCCCGTTCTGCACCTCGGGTACCTGGCAGCCGATCGCTGTGGGGGCAGCGACAGCGCCCTTTAAATTCACTGCACGAACGGGATCCTGCACACACAGAGCCCTGCCCTGCCCTCAGTGCCACAACCCCCTGCCCTGACCCTGCAGCACACCCAGCACCCTCCTGCCCCCCAGCCCAGCACAGAGCCCCCCACAGACCTTCACAGCGGGGCAGGGGCCGGCTCCAGCGCCCCGAGTCCGTGCAGGTGATGGACTCATTGCCGAGCAGCTGGAAGCCCTCCCTGCAGCTGTAGGACACGGTGGCTCCCCGGGGAAAGCTGCCCGAGGAGTGCCCGGAGTGCAGCCCGTTGGCGATGCTGGGTACCCGGGGACATGTCACCTCTGCAGAGGGAGGGGAAACCTCATCAGGGTTTGGGAGAGGAGATTTTGGGGAGCCAGCTCAGCCCCACCCTCCCGCATGTCACACTTTGGGAGGACAGAGGGCTCAAACCCCAGGTACTGCCAGCTGCATCCTGCCAGCAGCCTTTGGGTCTCTTGACTCTCCTCTGATCTTTCTGGACAAAGAGTATTGAAATGATTCATTTTATCTCAGCTGGTCTCCCTCTAAAAGCTGTGTCCCCCCCCTATGCCCATGCCTGGCCTCTGCACTGTCACCATCCATGGACATGACTGGAGCACAGGGAGGAGGGTGCTGGCTCTGGACACGTGGATTTCAGCTTGTTCTTTACATATTATAAACCCGTATATTTCATTAAAATGGAATTTAGTCTCTCGCTGAAGGTCTCAGTGGATTTGGTGAGGGTGTCCCGTGTGCTCAGAGCCACAGTGAGTTTGTCCCTGAGAGCCCGGACTCACCTTGGCAGCGAGGCCGGGGCTGGCTCCAGTTCCCCGATGCTCTGCAGGTCACAGCGGCATTTCCCACCAGGTAATAGCCGGGATCGCAGCTGTACCTTACAGACATTCCCATGGTGAATTCTGCCGTGTCCCGGCCGTTGTGATTTCCATTGGCCACCTCCGGAGGCATCGGGCACGGCCGGACTGCGGGAGGCAGATGGGAAATTGAACTCAGCGAGAGAACGGGGTGCGAGGGGAAGGCAGGCAGAGTGATGTGCACGCAGGGGTTAAACCCCTGCCTGCAGCCCCGATCCCGAGCAGCACTCACCCCTGTGGCACACGAGCTCCGGCGGGTCCCAGGCGCCCCCGGGCTGGCACCGAGCCTCGTCGGAGCCCTCTGCTGCGTGGCCGGGGTGGCAGCCAAAGTGCAGGGTGTCTCCAGCTCTGTAGGTGCTCTGCGCGTTGTGCACCTGCCCGTTCTGCACCTCGGGTACCTGGCAGCCGATCGCTGTGGGGGCAGCGACAGCGCCCTTTAAATTCACTGCACGAACGGGATCCTGCACACACAGAGCCCTGCCCTGCCCTCAGTGCCACAACCCCCTGCCCTGACCCTGCAGCACACCCAGCACCCTCCTGCCCCCCAGCCCAGCACAGAGCCCCCCACAGACCTTCACAGCGGGGCAGGGGCCGGCTCCAGCGCCCCGAGTCCGTGCAGGTGATGGACTCATTGCCGAGCAGCTGGAAGCCCTCCCTGCAGCTGTAGGACACGGTGGCTCCCCGGGGAAAGCTGCCCGAGGAGTGCCCGGAGTGCAGCCCGTTGGCGATGTTGGGTGCCCGGGGACATGTCACCTCTGCAGAGGGAAAGAAAGCGTCCTGTGGGTCTGCTCTGTGCTGGTCTGTGCTGCTGGCACAGCTCGGTAACAGCAGGGTGAGCTCCGGAATCCTGCTCTGGGCTCCATTTGCTGGGTCAAGGCTTCAGTTCAGGTGCAGCTGCACCTGGAAGGAATCACTGGCAGTGATGAGAGTCCCGACAGGACTTTGGGCGCATGGCAGGATTTGGGAGGGATCCTCACTGACATGGAAGCAGTGAGAGCAGTGAGAAGTTATGATTACTCTCCACTCTGCAATGAAGGTGAAACTGCCCCACATCTGCCCAGAAGCAGTGCCAGAAACCCCCCGGCATTCAGACCCTGCCATCCCACGGGGTTAACATCTCCCCATCCCTCTCGGACCCCCAGACAGGGCACAGCCATCCCCGTGTCCCACCCCAGCCTGTCCCACCGGAGCTGTTTCTGTTTCTCTGCCAGCCATGCTTGGGAAGGGCAGCCAGGACAGACCCACCCCAGCTTTGCCTTCCCAGTGAATTTGGGAGGACACAAGAGGAGCTTCCCGCGCAGCCAGCACTGCTCCCAGCGCTGGGACACTGGTGAGCCACTCACCCTTTCTGCACTCGGACAGAGGGGGGTCCCACCTGGAGGCAGCCCCGCAGGTGCTCCTGCCCGGACCCCGCAGGGTGTAGCCCGGGGTGCAGGTGACGCTCACGGTGTCCCGTGGCCGGTAGAAAAAGCGGCGAGGGGACACCCGTCCGTGGGGCACACGGGGCGGCGGGCACCAGGCAGCTGGGAGGGGAGAGAAGGGGATTGCTGACATGGCCAGCCCCGGGGTGCTGCGGGGTGCCCTGCCCAGCCCCGGGGTGCTGCGGGGTGCCCGTGCAGCCTGGTGCCCGTGGGCACTGGGGGCTGCACCTGGGCTGGGGTCCCGGGGCTGCAGGACCCTCCCTGTGCTCCTCGGGCTGACAAAACCTGCGTGTCCAGGATTTCATGTCAGCACCCAGCAGGGTCGGGAGCCTTTCCTGGCCCTCCTGAGGACCCAATCCGAGCCAGGAAACCATTGACAGGGCAGCCCAGGACTGACCCAACAGCCCCCCGGGATCTGTGCTCTGCCAGGGGATGGGGGTGCCCAGCCAGGCTGGGAATGCCAGCTGTGGCTCTGGTGATGAGCCAGTTCTGGCTTTGGTGATGGGCCAGCTGTGGCTCTGATAATGAGCCAGCTGTGGCTCTGGTGATGTGCCAGTTCTGGCTTTGGTGACGTGCCAGTTCTGGCTCTGGTGATGAGCCAGCTGTGGCTCTGATAATGAGCCAGCTGTGGCTCTGGTGATGTGCCAGTTCTGGCTTTGGTGACGTGCCAGTTCTGGCTCTGGTGATGTGCCAGTTCTGGCTCTGATAATGAGCCAGCTGTGGCTCTGGTGAGCCCAGAGGGTCTCTGCCATCAGCAGAGGAGCTCAGGGCTCTGTGATGCCAAGGCCACCTGGGAGCAGTGCAGGGCTCCCATTTCCCCCCACAGAGAAAAGCACCGGGATCAGCGAGGAGGAGCAGGAGGGCAGTGGGAGGAAGGCCCCAGAGGAGCAGAGCTGCTGCCCTGCCTTACCTTGAGCCCCGGCCGTGGTGCTGAGGAGCAGAGCGGAGCTGCCCAGCAGGCAGAGGATGACCGTGGGCACCATCCCTGGCACAGGCAGCAGCTCCTGCGGGCACGGGGCAGATATGGGCAGCCCAGTTCCCCCCAGTGCCCCCGTGGGAGGAAGGAGATGCTGCTGGGGGAGTTCCCAGGACTGTGGGACAGGAACCTGGGGGCTCCCCTGGACGTGCAGCACAGCCAGCACGCCGAGGAGGCTGCAGGTGCCCCAGGCTGCTGCTGCTGCTGGTTTTGGCAGGGGAGGATGTGGAAAGAGGGGTGAAAAGGGCTGGGGGCAGGCAGAGGTGCTGTAGCTGCACTGTGCCCATGGAGCAGAGTGTCCTCCTTAGGGGAAGTGTCCCAGGCTCTGTCCCAGAGCCCCAGGGGATGGTGGTGGCACCTAAGGGACACAGGAATGGGACGGGCAGTGGGGAATTCCCTCCTCCCATAAAAACAGGACACAAACTGGGGACACAAATCCTCCTGACCCGACCCGGGGCTGATCCCTCCCCGCTGGCAGGAGGAATAAACCCCCAACAGGAGTTTTGGGTGAGGAGCAGCCCCAGCAGCTCCAGCTGCCCACCCCACACAGGTGACACCTCCTGAGCCTAAAGCAGGCAGCGAGACAGGAACTGCTCAGTCCTTTTATTTCTTTTATTGACAGAGAGCTTCCAACACTTACAAATCCAACGTCCACACTTCAGAATTGCACTTGGTGATTTGCACTCACATTATAAAAATAAAATGATGTGCAATTGATTACAAATGCAATAAATAAACCCTCTCCAATGGTAAATTTTGGTGACCACACCTGTACACAAAGTTTCAGCATTCACAATTCCTTTCATGTGATTGTGGGGAGATAATTCCAAGCTGATCCCCAAATCACATGTTAAATCATTTGGAAAAAAATATCACTTTGGACTATGCAGTGTGAATAAACGTGCTGGGATTAAAATAGCAAAACCAAGCACAACCCAGAGCTGTGAGCCTTTAGGTTGTGTTTTGTCCGTTTGGTCACTCACATGGCTTACGGTAAAAGAGCAATAAAAATAACCAGCAATGTGCAAGTGCTTGTTCTGCAGGGCTGAAGAAACAGGATCTGCAGTGCCCCTGTGACAGCTGAGCAGGACAGGGCTCTGCTGGGGAGGGAGAACCCGGGGGCCTGTCTGGAACAAGGCTGATGTGTGCATGGAAATGGTTATTAGTGAGTTTCCTCCTTATTAAAGGCCTGTTCCTGCTAGCAGGGGAAAATGGAGAAACCAAAATTCTGTAGTAGGCACATTTGGGTGGTTCCTGTTCCCAGTGTGCTTCATGAGAAGCTCCCAGATGGGTGATTTACCTCTGCAGCAGACAAAACCCCAAACCTCAACATTTTGCTTTACCATCAGCTCAAATTCTGAATGCCTTCTAAACAGGAAACCTTCCAATCTTAACTCCCTTTTATGACAGCTTATCCAGTGATCTTCAGCCAGGCTGAGTTACAGCCAGGAAAGGACACCAATGCCTCAGCATGGCCTTGCCATCAGCCAGAGAAACCCGGGGCATTTTGCTCAAACGGTCCCTCCCTCACCTCTCTCCACGCTCACACACATCCTCAGCACAGCCACGAGTGGCTCAGGGCAGGCAGGATGAAAACAAAGTGCCCAAAGGCTGCGGGGTTGGTGTCCTGCTCCCAGGGCTTGGCGTCTCCGTGGTTTCACACAGGGATAGCTGCCCTTGAGTTTTGAGCAGCATTCCAGAAGTTCTCAGCAGCATTCCATTATGAATATTGAATTTATAATAAGTTCTGAGCAGCACTCCAGGTGCCTTCCTAAGCACTCCAGCCCCACACAGCAGTGCCAAGGTTTCCTGGCAGTCGCTGCTTCAAGGCCACTTTGTCAGGAGGGAAAGCAGAGCCCTGCCCCATCTCCCCCATCACAATTCCCAGGAAAGCTCAGGCACCGGACACCACTGCAACAGCAGCGATTAATTGAGCAGAAGCAATTAATGAACTTGATTACATCAAGTAATGAGATTGCAAAATCATTTAAGCCACTCTATGAGAAGGCTTGATTAGTAAATATGAAATAAACCCCAGAGCCAGGATACCAGTATTCCTTATTTTATATTTGTTTTATTTACAAAACAGTTTTACTATAAATACTGTAAATTTTGCACTTTTATCTGCTCACTAGGAAAGGAACCTCAGTTTTTAAAAAGGAGTTTAAGAAATACAAATAAATCTTGTAAGATTGTGCAAAGAGGAAATTGTTTTCCTAGCGCAAAGAAACGTTTACTGACTTTTTAAAGCCTCACTTTAAGAGCTGCAAAAACACTTTGTTCATACAAAAATAAACAAAAAAGTGGGCATTGGACAAACACGGAGGTGGGTTTGAAGTATGTTTGGTTTTTCTGCTTCTGTGCCAGCCCAGGTGAAGTCAGAGCGTTGATTTCAGGTCCCTTTGTTGCACTCAGAGCTGGATCCCTGCCAGGCATCGGCGCTGGACTCCCCTCCGCAGCTCCTGGCTTTATCCTGCAGCGGGAAACAAGCCGGGATCAGGGGATCCCCCCGGCCTGGGGAGGGTTTGAGCAGCCTCCCCAGGGACCTGGGGTGTTTGGGGCGCCCCGAGCAGCTCCTACCATCAGGTGCCAGGCGCTGGGGCTGGCACAGGTGAGCGTGGCTGGGCACCGAGCACACGGGGCACAGGTGGCAGCCGGGGCTGTGCGGAGGGACCAGGTGGGCTGGGGTGCCCTCCCCGGCCAGGGGACACACGGGGCTGCTGGCTGTGTCCCCGTGGACGAGGAACAGGAGCTGCCTGTCCGTGCAGGGGGCACAGACGGGGCCCTGGGGGCTGTGGGGAGAGAGGGCAGTGAGTCCCAGAGGGGTTGTGACAGGACCTGCCCCTCTCCAAACCACTCCAGCACCCGCTGAGCTGCTCTCCTTCACCATTTCCCCTTTTAAACTCCAGCAGGCAGAGATTCAAGAATGCAGAACTGGACCAGCTCCCCCAGGACTGGGGCTCCCAGCCAGTGGAGCAGGCGCTCACAGGAATAAATGGAAAAACCCCAAAGCAAAGGCAGCAGCAAGGAGTTCACACTTCCCGAAGCCAAAGCAAGCAGGTGCACATGTCCAACCATGTTTATCTGGGTTTTCATGTGAATTTGGCTCTGTCAATGGTGACTCTGTTGAGGAAGCACCAGACTCACATGGACGAGTGTCAGAATAAATAAATAAACTGAGCAAACAGCTTTACCTCATCACTTCTCTGGCCCAAAGTCTCACCTTGCCACAAGCAAATGAACCACATCCAGAGGTGGGAAAAGCCCAGGGCAGTGGCTGAGCAGAGGCTCCCACTGCAGGGTCTCACCTGGGCTCTTTGCTGCCTAACCAGAGCCAGAGCCCCAAAGAACACGAGGCTGAGCACAGTGAGGAGCACAGGCTGCTCCAGAGACAGCCAGGAAAACCCCACAAGCATCATCTGAGTGAACCTCACCCGGTTCCACCTCTCTCTGCTTGAGCAGGCACCACCCTTTACCCTGGCACAGGGCGAGGAGCAGCCAACAGTCACACAGTGCCGCCTGCTTTATTCTGAGTTTAGCAGTGAGCTCAGCTTGGAGGGCGCTGGGCACTCCCTGCAGGAGCTGCCTGGCCTGGTCACACTCACCCCTTGTGCTGCCACTCCCCCGGTGTCACAGCCCTGCTGTGCCCCTGGCCGGTGTGGGCACGCAGCCAGCTCTCACAGACGGGACAGATGTGGTCACTGTGGAGAGGAACCATCGAGGGTGAGCGCTGAGGGCGTGGATGTGCCTTCCAGGCCATGGTTCTGGGGCTTGGAACAGCCTGGGGTAGTGGGAGGTGTGGGGGTGGGATGAGAGGAGCTTTGAGGTCCCTTCCAACCCAAACCACTCTGGATTCTCTGATAAGCGCAGTTCTGAAATTTGCTGATTTTTGCCCATGCCCACCGTGGCATTTGGGTGTTTTTAGGTGGAATACTGACCTTTGGTGAGGCTGTTCTGCCTCACTCCTCCACGGAGCAGCTTCTCCTGTGCCATCTGCCCTCAGCACATCCATGGCAGGAGAGCTGAACACACACAGAGAACACACAGATCCTGAGTGTGTGGCTTCCCAAAAACACCTCCTGCCCAGCTGAGCCACTATTCCCTAAATATCAAACCCTTGCTCCTGCTAAAACAGGAACCACACAAATTCCAACTGCCAAACTCACTTTATCCACATAGAGATGCTTCCTCCCCCTTTCCCCTTGCTTTGCTCCCCTGTTGGATTTTACCTGCTGCCTGCTGGACTCTGGCTGTCCCCATCACCAACGCTGGGCACCGAGTAGCTGCGGGGTTTTTGGGGCTGGGAGCTCAGCCAGTCCTGGCAGGCGGCACAGCCGTGGCGTGGGGGCTCTGAGAGAGGGGCCAGGGCACTGTGGAGCTGCTCCTCACAGCTGGGACACACGTGGCACTTCCCTGTGTGGCTGTGGATGAGAGAGAGATGGGGGAAATCCACCCAGCAAAGCCCAAACCCTCCTGAAGCCCCCTTTGGACAGCAGGGTGTTCATCGTGGCATTTGAAAGTCAAAAATTGCTCAAAGATCTTCTGCAGAGGTGAGCTCAGCAGCACTGAGACCCCTGGCTATAGTCAGGCACAAGGTTTTGGGCGGGTGAACAAGCAAACCTACCAAAAATAGGAATTCCAGGGCTTGGGGAGCTTCTTCTCATCTGTAACCTCCAGGTGCATCGCTGCATCCCTTCCCTTCACCTGCTTTTGTGAATTCACATTATAAGAGCTGGAGAGACAGAAAGGGAGAAAATTGTAGAATAAAAGCTTCACAACATGGAAATATTGTGCTAACCATGCACATATACTGAAGGTACAGGGTTTGAAAGGAAAAATCCACTTATCCCCAGGGAAAGTTCTGATTTTGGAGGGGCAGCTTACTGCTTTTCACTCTCTTTCCGTCTCATGATGATCCCAGCTAGAATTCCAAGGGCTACTGGGGGAACTAACAAAGAAGGGAAAGGGAGAGTGAAATCAACCATTGACTCCAGGTATTTAACAGCA